CTATCTGGGGGCAACGCTGCTCAAAATCATAGCGCGATAGGCTAAGAAACCAAACTTTGCGGTTGATTTAAAGAGCCTTGCGCTGTTTGGGACACCCGGTAATGTGCCCGCCACGATTGGGCTGCGTCTGCGCTTCCCTGTGGCCGTATTTATCTCTCCCCGGAGTAAAGGTTTGTTACCTTGACACTCGAAACCTACCCATGTTGATCATTGCTCTGGACGTGTTTTCTGTCATTCGACCCACACGAGTTACCTGGAGCTCAAGTTTAATCGTATGCCCTGCAGTCGTAAGCAGCACGAACGGTAACACACCGCCAAGTTTTCCGTTTATCAATGCTGGAAGGTGCCTGAAGAGTCTGTGTGTTTGACAGTCCGGAAATCACTGTCAACATTCCCCGGTGCCAGTGATTGAAAAAATCATCATAAGTATCTTTCGTTCCTCTTGTTATCAGATTGCGCTTTGTTCGCTGGCGGATCGAGTGTACACGTATCTGGAATCGACATGATCACGGTGCTGTTTGACGGCGCACGGAGGGAATTTGTATTTTCAGTTTCCAGGGCATGCATAAAAAGTTAGCTCCAACTGTGGCCCCGAACATTTGTATTGCACAGTGCTAGGGCAAGCCAATGTACACTGGAAAACTTGACTGCTGTGCATGACGTCTATGCCGGTGCAGTCATGGTCTATGCGAAATCCTTTTGCTAGGAGCCGCACCGTGGCCCCACCGTCTCGGTGCAGGCTTTCCGGAGCTTCTGCTTGGCCCCTTTCTACGGGGCATACATCCTATTTAGGTCTTAAATTTTGGAGGAACAGCATAAGGTGGGTCACTCGATTGCAACATTTGCACGTTTTGACAAGTTTCGGGAAGTTTAAGCTCGTTAATACGACTGACTGTTTTCAAACTTCCAGACGTCCGGGGGTTTCCAGAATACCCTAGAGGCCCCTCGATCTATTAGGTTCCCTCAAATATCCCTGCTCCTAATTGAAGTGTTCTCCAAATGAAGCATTAATTTAGACACCCAAACTGTCTATGTATGCTTAAGGGGGGAAGCTGGTCTTTAACTTTTTTTTTTAATTTTAGTTCATTGTGCTGAAATTTAGTATGCTGAAGCACTTCTCAGTGGTGATTTCAAATATGCAATTAGTTTTCAGATAGCTCTACTTGATGCTGAGTTATCAATAAATTTGTCATTTTAATTAAGTCCTCCTTACGGGTCGTTAGCATAAAATGTTTCAGAATATATCAGAATTTTTTATAGAATTGCATTCCCCAAGACATGCTTTGTGCGGTGATGTTATTTTAAGCCTGATTTAATGATATTACATTGGTAAAAAACATTTGCAACCAAGTTGCACAAAACGGGAGACTATATCTTTTTTAAACTAATTAATTAAAATTATTGTATGACATATGAAGCAACAAAAATAGCATCACCGCACGGCTCCAGCATTTCAGAATAAAATGATACCATAGTTGTTTCGATTGACCGCAAGGCAAGCCTGAGAAAAGCCCCGTAAGGCTGTGGCTGTATTCCCAAAAATACGAACGGAGATAAAAGCACTTGAAGTTTGTGCACAAGTTTACAAGCATTTAGAGCATCCCGGGGCTGTAGTCCTGGTTCCCAGTCCTTGTGTGCCTCCTGGCAAGCTTTCTCACTGTCAATTCGCTCTCTGAGCGGGCTTTGTTAGCCTTGCGCAGGCGGCCTCGGTCTTTCTCGAGGCTCCTTCGGGCAAGACATTGTCCGGGGGCGAAGCCCAGACACTCCGTGACAATTTGGTTTGTCTTTAGTACACCCTGGTTGTATCGGGAGATCGCCTCTGCCACTGCCCTCTGCACACTAAACAGAGAGGCATGTTGGGTCTTCGGTGCAAGACTCCAGATTACAGAGTGGAGAGATTCACTTGCGTTTTGGGTCATTCCGTCACTGCACCGTTGGAGGAGGGCTTCATCACTCAGCCGGGCAAACACAGGCTCTAGAGCCACACGGACCTCTGTGGGCAGGGCTTTCTTATGAGCAGGTGGCTCTTTTCCGTCGGCAAGTGCGCGGTTGTGGCCACACCACGAGTCCGTACCCTGTGGGCACAGGCTGTGATCAGGGGCTTCATCTGTGGAAGTCATATGTAGAAGCGTCGCTTGCACTGCCTTCTTCATGGCTGGGACATCATGCTTATGGCTTCTTAGAGCGTAGCCATAATAGTTCCCTATTTTTTTTAATTTTGTCTTGAGTCAGCCTCCCCCTCCCTCCAAGAGGTTGTCGTTGAGCCATTTTCTTCTCCACCAGACTGCGCAGGGCCGCCCCCATTCTCTTATGGACATGGTTGAGGCAGTCCTTCTTTTGTACAGTTACAAAGCCGTAGACTTCCTCTTCTGTCAGGGCATGAAAAGTGCGGCTGTCGCCATCTGACAAAATGGTCGTGTATCTCAGCTCATGCTTCAACAGGGACCGACGAAACATGGTGAGGGCCTTCTCCACTTCCATGTGGCCCGCCTTGCAGTCAACATTCATTTGACATGTGTGTTTCTTTTGCCACTCTTCAAAGGCCTCCTCGTCAGGGTTTGGTCCCACCGTACATCCCAGGCAAAAGTTTGAAACGACCTCGTGGTCAATCACAAGCCCGGTATAAAGTTCTATGATGCAGCCCACACCAATGTGAGAGTCGTGGCCCCGTGTCTTCCAGCTCCCATCAAAAATCACATCAATGTTGCCTGGAGGACTCATGAAGCCCTTGTAAAGCTCCTTGACTACTGCAGCACCTTCACTCTCACATGCTGCAGCGGCTGTCAAAGATGCTTGGAGCGTCTTGTCCAAGTGACTGTTGAAGGTCTTGTGGTGCACGCCACGATGCGAGATGTTCATGCATGCCCAAAAGTCTGTAAGAGCAGTGGCCCCCTTCCCGATGCTCTGCATTGCCTGCATTGATCTGATATTCACCTCAAAAGGCGTTATCTTGGCGCTGCCGGACACCCTTGGTGAGGAGAAGTGCTGCTCACGTACCTGGCAGGTGGAGCACACCAACACAAGCTTGTGCGCAAGTCCGTAGTCCTGGCCTTCTTTCTTCAAGGTGACGGTGCTGGCACCACACTGTCCACACTTCGTACGCGAGAAAAACGCATTCAGCACGGCCATGTCGACGATTATAAATTCGGTTCCACGCTCGGTCTCGGTGTTCTCAAGATCAACATTGAGCAGGTTGAATTTTCTCTGAGTTGCGGACTGTGCTGCTAAACGGCGCTTTGTCTCTCCTACTTCATTCAAAAGCCCCGACTGTTCTTCGGCCGTAAAATACGTGGTGTCGATCCGGTTACCGCTGAGACCAGACATACTTGGTGTTGCATCGAAATCGGAGAGTTCGGGATCGGAGACTTCGGGATCGGCGACTTCGGGATCGGCGACTTCGGGATCGGCGATTTCGCGATCGCCGACTTCGGGATCGGAGACTTCGGGATCGCCGACTTCGGCATCGGCAACTTTGTGATCGACAACTTCATGATCGGCAACTTCGTGATCGACAACTTCATGATCAGCATCTTTGTGATCGGCGACTTTGGGATTGAAGACTTCGGGATCGGCGTCGATGCGATCTTGTGCGTGCAGCTCCGACTGTGTTGCTTTCGGTTCAACTTGAGTCGACTGGCGCTGACCCTTATTCCACGCACGTTTACGTTTTTTTCCATATGCTTGGCGCGTTCGCGATTTCAAGCGGTGATCGTCGGCCATGTCGATCGCCGTTCAAAACGTCCAAACAAAGCGCGGGTCCTCAGAGCAACCACGTTTCTCCGATGATACAATACAACACAGTCGAAAAGTTCACGAGAAGCGTACGTACTAGTACGAAAATGCACAAGAACAAAACAAAACTCACACAGCCTTGACAAACATCGAGAAAAACAACGCTAAATAAACTTTTAGAAGCAATCCGATCGCGAAACGAAAGCAAAATCGAAAGCGGTAGCAGACGACGCAGCGTACGACGAAGAGCTGGGGAGAGCCCCGAAGTCACCGAAGGAGCGAACGGGGGAGGAGGAAGACGCGCCAAGCGAAGGAAATTTGAGATGAAGGGAGAGAGGAGCCAATGGCAACAGCGCATTCCCGCGAGCGCGCGCTTCGGCCAATGAGTGGCTTGAAATCGGGCTGCGGGAGAACGGCCGTATCGTAGGCCATGCTGCGCTGATGCCATTTTGAAAAAGTGCAAACAAAAGAGCGCGAAATCAGCTTTCAAACCATACCAAAATGGCGGCGGTTGGAGGAGCGGTTTCGGAATCGCGGTTGTGCGAAGTGAGGCGTTATTTTGAAGTTCGTCCTTCACTACAGAGCCGTTCCGGCCTCAAAATACTCGTTTTATTTATACTTTGCGATTGATTTGAGCATAGATATTTTGTACAGATATAGTTTGAAATATGTAGACTTCAGAAATTTATTTTTCTAAAAATCGATTTTTTTTCGATTTTTTTTCTCTCTAAGACCCGTTGCCCCCCTTAACCACGCCTGGCGTAAGCGTCATTGTTTATGAAGTCTGCAGGCTTCTACGCTGTATTACTGCACCAATACTGAAACCTGGGTACCTGTGTTCGACTTTGAAGAAACTAGAAGCAGAAGTGACTTAGCGGCAGGAGGAGCGTAACCAAGCAACGGCGCGCACCGCGAAACCGCCCTCTTTGACGCCGTGATGACTTGGCAAGATTGGCGTCTGTCACTCTTTTGAGAGGAGTCAAGAGCCAACCCCCGATGAGCGGAAGGAGCTACGCTGTCCCCCTGCCGTACCTACTTGGAACCTAGTCCCTACGCAAGCGTAGACTTCCCTGGCAACCAGAGGAGCATTTCCTGGTTTAGTGAAGCGATGGCAGTCAATCCCTCGCAGCGGCAACCTTCCCATCTGCTCTATTTTAAAGAAACTTGTCAAACTAAAAAAATACATGTGTTCTATTGCAATAAACAACTGATTTTGTTGCGGTTCTAGAAAATATTAGATGGAGTAAACTCGCATAAATGGTTAGAACAACATGCGGGACGCGGATGAGCGCCTAGTTCAAATCACTGTCGCTGATGACGGCTCAAGAAATGAGAGGATGTGGCCTGTCATGCTCACTCTTGCATTGTGATTCGTTCCTCGGCGTTCTCATTGGCTAATGCGGCTATCTCATTATCTGCGGAGCGATAATAAAAGGTTCCAGACTTGCAGCACCCTGCGTTTCATAAATTGCCAGTGACTATGGTTCAGACAACATGGAGGATGGGAGAAGGCAACGTGTGACCGTGGCCCAGAGGGAGGAGCTTGATACATTTATGTTCGAGAGCCCCTCTCTGGTACGCGTCGCAACAAAGCTGAGCCTGGCACTGTCCAGACACAACAAGGTTTGTCTGGAACGAGCTGACCTGCCGGCTCAACTTTCTCGGGCCTCTGAGGAAGGAGCCGGAAGGTTGGAAACGCTTCTGGGCCGTGCGGGTGTCGAAGGTGCGGGGCACGGGCTGTGGAGCTGGCGAAACAGGCGAGGTAATCTGCGTAGTCTACTCATAGTGTGGACCAAGCTATTGAATTACTTCCTTTACTCGCAGGCAAACGGGGCGGAGGCGGCCGGGTGCGCTCACTGTCTTCATCATACGCACATGGTTTGACGCTGATGGGGGAGGCCTCGGCCCTGGGCGCTCCCGGGATTTCTGTCCCGGCGTTTCAGGACGAGGCCGAGGTGAGTGCACACTTGAACACAACATACTATTGCACATGCAGCTGTTCAGTCCAAATAGAGAGGAGAATATCCGTGCAGGGTTTTATTATCGGTGAGCTACGATGTATACTGCAATGAAATGTGATAAATATGAACGTGAATATATGCATTAAAGGTGCTGGCACTTTTTATAATTCAGCAAATCAGAGGGCGGATTAATTCGTGCACGTAAAGGCAAGACCTAAAACAAAAGCACTTACGACAAAAAACATTATATTTATTGCAGTGATACTGGAGTTTCTAAGGCTAAAACAAGTGTAGTTTTTGTGTAGTCCTTTTTCTAGTTTTTGTGTTTGTTGCAACCCTCAGTTGTATTGTGTGCATGCTGTCGTAAGACTATTTCTGTATTACAGAGGTATATTTTCGCATAACAGGGGAAGTGCAACCTTTCGAGCTGCTACTAGACATGTTTGTGGAGTCAATCCTTGACATGAATGGCACTACATCTGAAACAGTGTAATTTTGTTTCCCCTGAGTGGAATACAGCCTCATGAAACCCACTTTCAATATCTAGAAAATGCAGTCAAGTCCTGTGTGCTGCCTAGAACTTATAAATTCCCTCCTAAGGGAGACCCGCAGGTGCCCAGGCAGGTCACAAGCAGCAGGCAGCCGGGCCGGTGCCCTCCACCTCACGGGCTGAGATCTCTTATGAGGACAACTAAGATTGTGTGATATGGCAGAAGAATTCTTTGTTTCCTGGCAGATGTGAGGCCCCCTGCAAGGCCCCAGGTGCGGCCAACGGCGCCTCGTGTTACTCCCCGGATATCGAAGCAGGAGCGGCACGACAGGGCTGCCATGCAGGCTGTCGCCAACCAGGCTCTCCATCTGCAGCAGAACAAGGCGAGGGACGCGCGGGACGTGGAGCTCCAAGGCCAGGTATTGGCTCAAACATAGAACTGAGTAACATGACTAAATAAATACGAGTTCAACAAAGATGCCACTGTGAAAGTGGGACTGAGCAGAAGGCAATGGAGATCCACAAAAGCATAATGCAAACAGAGCTGTTACATATGCAAGGTTTTCACGCCTTCTGCCCCGTCTTCCCAGCTCCTGCGTTCCATCGAGACCCTCAGCCACCGCATGGAGGCTGTTGCGGAGGCCAACCAGGAGCAAGCTCGCGTCACACAAGCGGGTGGCCCTGGAACTCTAGAACACGACCTGCGTGCTCGTCGGGGTCGTTCTGCTGCTGACTGCCAAGAGCAGCCAAGCCCAGCGCAGCCAAGACCTGCCTAGCCCTGCCCAGCCACCCCCTCGTCCAGCCCAGCCCCGCCGAGCCCAGCCCGGCCGAGCCCAGTCCCGCCGAGCCCAGCACCGCCCCCCGCAGGGGCACCTGTGAAAGCAGGTGTTTGGAGAGTGGCGTCTCCACGGACCCCGAGCCATGCGGGTTCGCCCACCCACGTCTGGCTGTGCGTGGCTTTTCCGTGTCCGGGGAAAAGGGCATCCTGGTGGTTGAGCCGAGCCCGGGGTAGGTTTGGACCCTTCGGGGCCCCCCGGGTGAGGCAATACATCACTTCCCCACTGAACGCAAAGATGGCTACAAGACGGCTAAAAGACGTCTTGGCAAGATGTACAATACGTCTTGTAGACATCCTGACAAGACGTTATATAGCCCAGGACATCTTGAAACGTCTTGTAGCCGTCTTCTAGCTGGCATAACGCCCAGTCCTTGGGCTGCAAGATGTCTTGCAAGATCTACCATAGACGACTTGAAAACTATTACAGGACACCTAGTTACGGCCTGGATATTTTAATCCCAAAAAGCCATAAGGCTTTGAATAGCTAAACTCCTTATATAGTGGTAAGGACAAGTACTAAAGCCGATTCGTACTGCAGCGACTGACTATGTGAGAGGGCTAACGTCGAGATACAACCATGACTTACCATGGCAATCAAGAATTGCAACACAAATTAGTTGCCTTAGCGGCTTTCAGTCTCTTGAGTCAAGTCTTTGCAATATAGTCAAGCGCTGTTGCAAAAATAGGCCTTTGCACCAAGCTGGTGTGAATAAAATGACATAGTTAACATAGCGAAGCATAGCTATTGCATGTCTGTAAGTACACCACATATTGAACACCTGTCAATCGCAAGCTCTCAAGTGACACAGCCATAGCTGCGCACCAGTAAGCAAATGATTTTTCTCCTGTTCAAGAACTGTAAAAACATGTTTATTAGTAAAATAGGTACGTAAATATAATTGAAGCTTTCAATGCACTGCTTATTAGTTTTAGAACAATAAGAAATGAAATAATGGCTTGCAATCCAGATGACTTGTGGAAGTTTCCGGCTGACTCAAGGAAGTTTCTTAACTCTCAGACTCGTGGAAGCTTCCTGCAATGAATTGAAAAGTAAATTTTTATGAGTTTAATATTCCCTATTGTTTCCAGTTTTATAAAGGTATCAAGTGTCTAAGCATGCATTATATAATGTACCCATAATGTGCCCATTGTAAATACCCCAAGTTTTGCTGCCTATCAGGAATTTTCAAGATTTTTCGGGTACAAAGCTAATTTCAGAAACAAATTTTGTATGACACTGCTAGAAGTTTCCTGCGAAATTTCAAAGCAGCCCAAAAATGACTGAAGTTTGCTATAGAAGAGAAGTCCAGAAAACCACTTTTTAAGATTTGAGAATGATTCTGCTAGCCAAAGTACACCACAAGACCAACATGAACTACTTTGTTTTTTGCAAAACAAGGTAAAGAAACAAAGAGCAATCTGCAAAGCAATTATTTGCAATAGTATGCCAACAAAGTGACTCGTATGATGTTTAAATGCAAATGCCGACCAATTTTCCGGACTCGAAGGCAACCCGAAAAAGCAGTCTAAAAAAGCTATTTTAAAGGCCGACGACCAGACTCGAGATTCTGCAAGGCAGAAGACCCTCCTCTCCACGCCTTCGGGCGAGGGAAGCGAAGGATGGAAAGAAGGGACCAAGAGGGGCGGGCATGGGTGGAAAGGGTAGGAGGGAGAGGAGGAAGCGGGCGAAAAGTGGAAAGCGCGAACTGGTCGTCAGTCTTTAACTTAACTCTTAAAAGCCCATAAGGTTTCTATCAGTGATAGGAACATGAAAGTCGCTAGAAATAATGTTTATTGCCTCACAAGCACAAATAATAAAAAAGGTATGAAAATACTAATTGAAAGCCATTAATTAGGGCATGGGAATATTCTTCCCTGTGGGCCTTCAGTGCCACACATACTCTTGGTGAAACTTGGCAAAACAGGGCACCACACAAAGGTGTACTTTGCAAGTTGTGCATGTGATCTTTGATCTTTTGTCATTTTTGGCCGTGGAGCAGTACCTACACCTCTTGTAGGCTGCTTCGCCCTGTGGGTAATGTGGCCCGTTGGACAGGCGCACCTCATCTGGCACGCCAAGGTTTTTGTTGGTATTTGCTTGCTGCAAGACGCGTCGAAAAGCGGTCGTGGCTGACCTTTTCCTTCCATTATAGCCGTTGGCCAACTGGCGTGCAAGTATTAGGAGAAAACTCTGGTGGTTCGCCTCCCCCTCTGACAGCTGGTAAAGGATGAAGCTATTCACAAGAGCACAGTCCAGAAGAAAGTAGAAGATTCGCATCCACCATTTTCTTGACTTACGAGTAACGGTGTGATACTCTCGCAGCTGATCAAAGCGGTCTACTCCCCGCATGTGCTTCGTGTACTGCACAATTGCTAGTGGACACTTGATGCTTCTCTTCGACCCGTCCTTATTTTTCTTTTCCACTGTTACCGTCTCTGAAGGATCGTGGGCTGTTGTTACTACATTGACTAGCCGCTTGTCTTGCCACTGGATCGCAGCAACATTTCCCTTCACCTTGTAGTTGTGGTCGCCTTCATTGATTTTCTTTTTGTTCTTCACAACATCAGGAAGACCTTTTCTTTGTGCACGGACAGTTCCCACGGCATATATCCCGAGGTCAAACAGATCCTGCAGGAGTTTGGGTGAACTAAAAAAGTTGTCGAACACTACCAGACACTCTGTCCCGACAAGTTCCTCAGTGAATTTCTTCACTACCCTGTAGCCGAGCCCACCGCCATCGCCCTCTTTGCCTGTGTAGACTTCGAACTGGCTAATAAAGCCAGTTGTAGCATCAGCACGCACCCATACTTTGAACCCACGTTTGATAGGCTTCATGGGCATGTACTGTTTGAATGACTTCCTTCCTTTGAACAGAATCATACTCTCATCAATTGAGTGGTATGCAGATGGCTGGTAGCTAGCTCTGAATGTTTCGGAGAGCTCTGTGATAAGAGGTCGAAGTTTGTGCAAAGGGTCATGGCCGACGTCTCCTTTTCTAGTCGCTGTCTTGTTGTCGTTGGCATGCAGTGATCGAAGAAGCTGAAAAAATCGTGCTCTTGGCATCACTGAGCTAACTGATGCCACTCCGAGGTCGCTGTCCGTGGACCAGTAGTCCCGTCTGTTTTGAAGTTGAAGAATGCCCATTCTGATGAGAATTGCTAGGAATCCTTTCATTTCTTCAAGTGTGGTATCCTGCCAAGCTTTCTTTTTGGTTTCTGTGGCGTATATGTTCGTTTGCTCAACGAGTATGGTCAAAGCACCTCCGAACAGGGCATCAAAGATCATTATTGGCGTGTGCGTTGGAGGAAGCTTAGGAGTTGCAGGTGTTTGGGAGCAAAAATCGGGAATGTTGTTTCGGTGGGGAAGCGAACGTATTGTCCACTCACTTGCAGTCTCTTCATCATCACTGGCGTCATCACTTCAGTGCACATCATACGCACTCACTTGTGCTGCTCCTTGTGACGCTGTGCTACTCGGCTGGACTTTCGAACGGGTTACCGCACCCGACGGAACATCGTCGCCGTCTTCTTCTTCCTCGCTGTCACTTGACTGGTTTGGGTCATCAGGCAGAGAGAAAAAGACATCCAGTGCCTCGTCCACTGACAAGAACTTCGACATCTGCGGAGAAACAAGCGCAGGTATAATGTTCTGCTAAAGGCCCATAGGGAAATATATTCCCACCACCTATGGTCGGGAAAAACCATTACAGCATCTAATAAACGTGATGAACATGCTTATAAGTGGTTAAAATCGATGCACGGGATGCCGTAGAGACATTAATTAAATATACGCACCTTTGAAGTTGTTTTTTGCCGTCCTCAGGCTAAAGTTTCTTTGGCAAATTGTACGAGCACAAAGAACCGAAGCCATGCCACCTTGCCGGGAAAAACCATTCTCGCCGCCTAGTGGATGCACCGAAAACCTTCAAAATAATTTTGTGTAGTTTGTTAGGCATGTGGCTAGATAGCGCCACAATACAGAAAAAATAAAAAATTTGCATCAGTTGTTTATGGCGCCTTTTTCGAAGTGGGAAGCATATTCCCTTTGGGCTTTTAAGGGTTAAATAAAAAAATTCCATGCAACCTCTGCATGGTATTGCACACTTTCCACTTGTTTGATGCCAATATTAAGTTCTCATGCAACTTCCACTTCATACTGGTCGCTTTCCACATGTTTGGATGATCGCAGTGCCAAGCGTTGCTGAGGCCATTGCTGCCGCATACAGTAAAGATAAAGCTGGTATGATTTGGAGGCTACATTCAGCTGACCAAGCTCGCTTTACTGCTGCACCTATCTGCCAAATATACTCGCTCGAAGAACACGGGAAGAATGGTGGACAGTAGTTCTTCTCCTGGTCGCGGTAGGGAAATGCAAACACGAGAACATACAGGAGTATGGCCCCCAGATGGCGGCTATGTTGGATATAGTGGAACTGGAATATCTGACCGTGGCCCAATCCAGCTTTTTCATGCGTAAGACGGGGATTCGAGGCTACGAGACCAAACAACCAAGATGCTTGCAATGAAGCATACGGCGACTGTTTGTAAGTATAAATGGAAAAAAAAAACTTCCGAAAATTTGAGCAACGAGGTGTACGGTATCCGAAATTTCAGTCAGTGCTACACATTAAGTTTCATAGTCATAATTATACGAGGCTTGTATTATTAAGTTACTTTTCAGCATGTTTTCAATTTGCCACTTCTCAGTCAGCAGGAAAAGGAAAAATGTTTAGATGAAATAATGCTTAGGTACCATACCTTTTTGTGGCGCTATTTACGCATGCTCGGCAGTTCTTCAGCCAACCCTTGGCTCCTGCTTCAATTTCTTCAAGCGTTGCACCACTCGGGCCTTCTATCAGTCTGACTGCTTCTGTAAATGGGGAAAATATGAAAATCATAACCAAGTGCGTTACCCTGGTGCAATGATCGCGGGAGATATGAAAGCCTACCACCACTACAAATAGACATGGGTGAATATATGAGTGTTCTGTCCAGATTAAATGATATGTCACCCTTTTGTTAATGACTACCGACATAGGCTGTGCCGATTCATTTTGCCCGGCCTGCCCCATGCACACTGCTAGTGCGAACACGA